CAAAAAAACACCCCCCCCCCCAAGACGCAACAAAACCCCCCCACCCAAAAAAACACCAACAAAAAAACCCCCAAAAAACCCACTCCGAACCTTTAGTGAACAATAAAGAACAGTTCAAAATTTCCACTCAAATCAACATTTAACTCTCATTTGGAAAGATGATAGGATAGGCTTTTCTACACTCTGAGCAGGTGAATGTTTGAACTTGCAAAGGACTGAAAGATTTTTAGGTATTTACACAAGCTCACATCCCTGAAACAGTGCTGCAATGTTGTGCTACTACTGTCAGGAAGTTCTTAAGAGGAACTGACTCCAAGCTAAAAAGAAAATGTTAGAGACAGATTTATTTATTAATCTAAAACTCAGTAAAACCATATAGAAATCATACAGCTAGAAAGTGGAAATACTTGAAACGGTTAGTGTTCTTATGGAAGGCTTTTAAAAATGCACAATACAAGACTTGAAAGAATAAATTATATTAATAGTGTATCATTAGGTTCGAAGAAGCTTTAATGTGGATATGAAAATTTTAAAGAAAGACAGTACCTGTTGCACTTTCGACAGTGGTGTGAACGTGGTGCCTTATAAGACTGACACACTTTACAGTATTGGAGATACATGCAATCCTGAGATTTTTCCTTTAAAGAGAAGAATAGGTGTGTTAGGCGTATACATAATTCTACTGGCAGTACATATCTTGGCACTTTCCTAACCCAAGCATCTTTGATCTTTCTTCTGACAGGGTGTGTTGCATAACCCAACCCTATTTAATGGTAGGTGGTAAGGAGAGAAAAAACCAAAATTAAATACTCTCTTGGCTATCAACACAGCCATCTCCCACTGCTGAAAGTGCAGGCTGCTAAAAGAAATAAACAGTTCTTCCGCCAGGAAGAATGACTGTACAATGGGGGTTTCATAGTGAAGTTCTGAGAGTAAAAAACAAATTGAGGCCTTCAGAAAAGCTTCTGCACCTTGTCTCACCATAAGCCAATCTAGGCTTACTACTAAGATACAGTAGTGGTAAGCACTGATGTTCAACTAGCTCTTGTTTGCCACCCTCTCTCTCTTACAGACACACGGGTGCCAACTACAGCAAGATAAGAGACAGACAGACTTGTAGATAGCAAGTCGCAAGAACATGGGCAAAATCTTTTGTTCACAAAGCGGAATAGCCAGTTCTGCTGCTAGGACTACCTCAGGATCCTCTTCTCACCAGACTCTGCCCTGAGAAAATTCCACAAGTAGAAACGTGATTATTACTAATCTTTATATCCTGCCACTGGAACACAAACGCTGGCCACCTGTCTTGAGATACTGAACCTGTACCATCCTGGTCCTGGACTAACTACTCTTCCAGGAGACTACTGAAGGAAAGGAAATGCAAATTTCTGCCTTGGCTTATAATACTGCATTGAACATAGTGTAAAAAAATGTAATTTTCTGCCTCACGTAGAAAAAAAAAAATCAAGTTTGCTAAAGGAAGTTCCTTTATTAATCTAAATAAGAATCCCCATTACGAGGAACAAAGCCTTCAACGCAACGGTGTCGGCACGGGGGTGCCGGTAACCTTGGCGTTCCCGCTCCCGGCCGACAGTACTCGTTTTGCTTTGGGAAGCGGC